GGTCAGATCGGGTCGGGTCGGGTCAGATCGGGTCAGATCGGGTCGGGTCGGGTCAGATCGGGTCAGATCGGGTCGGGTCGGGTCAGATCGGGTCAGATCGGGTCGGGTCGGGTCAGATCGGGTCAGATCGGGTCGGGTCGGGTCAGGTCGGGTCAGATCGGGTCAGATCGGGTCGGGTCAGATCGGGTCGGGTCAGATCAGATCGGGTCGGGTCGGGCTGCAGAACTGATCCAAACTGTTGCTTCTGTCAATAATCAAAACACATTTCAAATTAAAATGAGGAAACAGGTGGAATTACAAAATAAAAGTCCCCTAAATTATTATTTTTTCAAATTAAATGATGTTATAAAATGGGGCTTGGTGCAGAGGTTAAAGTGACCAGAAGGTCACCGGTTCGATCCCTTCGGACCCACAACATCAAATGTGGGTGTGAAAGGTGAAGCACCCACACCTGCCTCCACCCTCAGTTGCCCCACCCTGAGCCCTTGAGCAAGGCCCTTAACCCCGACCATGTGCTCCCCGGGCGCCCCTGATGGCAGCTCTCTGCTCCACTCAGAGGCTGTGGTCGCTCGGTGTCTGTGGTTGAGTCAGGAAGAACATCTGGAGTAAGAACAATCCCCTGAGGACGGAGCAGCTGAAAGAAGAAGACGTCAAAAAACTCAACATTTGTTTAGTCTAACTGCATTTGTTACATTAATAAAAGAACTTATTGGAGCAGAGGGTAGAGCTGCGGCCTCACAGTGAGAAGGCCACAGGTTCAATTCCCGGTCTTTGTGTGTGGAGTTTACATGTTCTCAAATTTCTCTGAGAACTCCGGTTCTTTCCAAAAACATGAACGAGACTCTGAAGTGTCTCTAGATGAGAATGAATGGTTGTCTCTGTGTGTCCCTGATGGACTGGAGACCTGTCCAGGTGTCCCTGGTGGACTGGAGACCTGTCCAGGTGTCCCCGATGGACTGGAGACCTGTCCAAGCATCCCAGATGGACTGGAGACCTGTCCAGGTGTCCCTGATGGACTGGAGACCTGTCCAGGTGTCCCCGGTGGACTGGAGACCTGTC